TGGAGGTCTTCAAAGGTATAAAGTTAATCTCTTTCTCTTTACCTCTTTCATCTTTTTTCAAGCATGCTTATTTTAGTTAAATTGCTTCATTAAGTATATTATGATCCTTAGCTTCCGCTGTGCATGTCTAAGAGTTCCATTAGGGGTATGCTAGAGCTTTATATTCTATATGTCCTTCGTCGCATTGAGGACAATGCAACCTCTTAAGTTTGGGGGAGTGAACCTTTAGTTCCTACATCTCTATCAGAAATTGTACAGAATCATGAATCTTTCTAATCCTGTAATTCAGACCAAAAAAAAAGAAGTCATCAATAAAGGAGGGGCTAGCGGCTCGCATCAAGAGCATAAAGAGGTTGTAACATTAAGAAGGCCTAGTAGCCCATGGTTAAGAAGTCCAAGTGGTGTGCAAAGTTTAAAGGTTTAGGCTAGTGAAAGGAGCTTGAGAAAGGAATCTCTAGGAGAAGTTAAGCTTCAGGTTGGGAAATAGAAGGAAGCTAGAGTTGGGCAGAAAATAGCATGTTCCAGAGTGTCAACAAACTTGAGCTTCTTTTATTTCTTTGCTCCAGCTAAAGCACGTAGCAGAATATGTAAGTTCTATGCATTCTTGATTTAAAATGAAGGGTTGAGGCATATGGCAGGTTGCTTGAAGTGCGAGTTTCTAACACTCTTCATTGGTGAAAAAGGAGGAGTGTATGTTATTGCTTAGGGACAAGCAAGATTTTAAGTTTTGAGGTATGATAATTCTCCAAAAACGAGTTATTCTAGTCTTCATTTGAGTAGTTTTATATAAGGAATTGTCAAAGTGTGATGGTTTTGGTGCGCAATTAGCATAGAAAAGAGTAAAAAATGGAATCCGAGCTAAAAGCCCCAGGTCTTGAATGTTGTAGCTAAATATTGCGCTAAATGCTCTTATTTCTGGTGTAAATGCACAGGTTTGGAAGCAAAAGCCTAAGCAAAAAGGAAGTGCAAAAACCCAGAGAAGAGTGGGAAGGAATTTTGAGGCAGAGCAGATAAATGCTGGAGCGAAGCAGAGCTAGAGCATTGATTCACTGCACAGTAACAGCCTAGACACGGGATTTACCGTGTCCATACAATTTTCAGCTGGATGCCCTAATTTTGAAGCCCAATATAAAAGGGGTGTGTCGCCATAGCCGCCACACACAGATCCCAAGAGGAGCACGATTTTGAAAGCTGAAAAGACAAGAGGAAAATTATCTCCATTTTTAGGGGAGCAAGCTGACAACAGAAGGGGGATATTCTACTGCAATTTCCAGCTGACAACTTCTTCTTCTTCGTTTTCTGATGTCTCCCTAAGATGGGTTGTTTCCTTCTTCTACCCGTTTTAATTTCTTCTACATTTATGAGCTAAACCCCATTTCGGGGAAGTCTCCCATGTTGTAACTGCTGTAAACTGAACCTCTCACTACTTTACTTGTTTTTAAATGAAGCTGTTTGTATTTCTTCAATCTTGCGTGAAATTGTTGGCCACCATGTCGTGTTTGCTAGTGTCTGTATTGACCCGGAAGGGCTTATGGGTGCTGACTTGATTCATTTGGGATTAGTACTTTTCTATAGTAACAGTGGATTCTCAGGAATGAGATCCCCTAATCTTGCCTAAAGCTTGTTTTACTGTTTAGGAACTTAGCAACGGGAGTTGTGGGTTTTCATGTTCGAGTGTCTTGGAAGGGAACCATGTCGAGCTAACAAGCATTTGTTAGCAGTTAGATGGTAGGTTGATAGGCTGTGAATGCATGTGAATCTCCCCCACTTTTCCATATCTATATTGTCCTCGTTTTCATATTCTGTGCTGGTTCTTCTGCTTGTTATCAGCTTTACAAAGTGTGTCTGCTGTTGTGTTTTGTTTACTGCTTTGTTTATTTTACGTTTATTTGTTCAAGCCACGAAAAACCTTCTATACTTCTTTATTTTATGCTTTTGGTATCTGTGAATGCTGTTTAAAATACTATCCAAAGTCCCTGCGGATTCGACCTCGTTACGTGCTGCAATTAGGGGTGTTCACGGGTCGGGTTGGGTCGGGTTAAGGGGTTTTTTGGGACCAACCCGAATTTTCGGGTTGACCATATGTAGAACCCAACCCAACCCCAATTGATAGCCAACCCAACCCAACCCAAAAAATTCGGGTTGGGTCGGGTTGGGTTTTCGGTTTTTTTTTTAATTATTAATTTATTTTTGTTTTGTTTATAACATAGACCAAAAAAATATAAAAAAATCAAAATCTTAATTTAAACACAAATTCAAATCCTAATTGAAACCAACATGTAAGTCCTAATTTAATACAAATATTAAAAGTTTACATTATCCAAAGTTTATAAGTCCAAATTCAAATTGAAACCAACATGTAAGCCCTAATTCAACAATATTAAAAGCTTACACATTATAGTAGTCATCCAAACTTCAAAGTTTATCTAAAGTTCAAATTCAAACAAACAGAAAAATTAAATTCTTAAATCTTTATTACAAGCCATAGTTGACACAACGAGAAACAAGCTAAAAGATTTTGATCGTTGACTCCATATGCTAGTCCTGAAAATTCAAATACAATAATAACAATTAGTTTTGAAATATCAAGAACAAAGACAAGCACTTATCATTAATGTAATATTTAATTATTTTACTTACCATCGAAATCATAGGGATCAAATGAGATTTATTTATGCATGGTGTTGGTGGAGGAGTGTGAACTCTCTGGAAAAAAATAAAAAAGAGATCAAAAAGAGAAAGTATAAAATCTAAAAAATATATAGAAAATAATAAAGGACAATTTGATAATAAATTAGTTACCTGTCTCAATTTTATCACAAGTCTCCAATTCTTCGAGTTGTGGAGGAAGATCTAATAACACTGATTTGCCACAAATCCAATTTTGCGTGCATATCAAAGCCTCTATTGTTTTAGGAGATAAAGAACTTCTAAAAGAATCAAGAATCCTCCCCCTGTACTGAATGCTGATTCAGAAGCAACCGTAGATACTGGAACTGCCAAAACATCTTGGGCTATTTTTTATAGAACTCGATATTTATAGCCATGATTTTTCCACCAAGCCAAAACATCAAAACTGTCATTAAGTTCCTCACAAGGGTCAGTTAAATATCGATCCACATCATTCTTCAATTCTAAAGAACTCTTCTCTTCTCTTCTTTTCTTGTATCTTGATATTACAAAACTACTCGCTTGAACATTTCCACCAATTTCCATATCTATGATAGCACTTGATTGGGAAGGTTCAGTACTATGACTTTTAGTATCAAGACTAAGAGTATTGTCATGTGATTTGTAGAAATCATATGCATATGAACCAAACATGTCTTGATACTATCAAGCATCTCCTTAGCTATAGCATCCTCGTAGAAATTAGAAAAACAAAATCCTACATAATCCAATTTGTAGCGAGGATCAAGCACCATAGCAATAAATATCAACTTATTCATTTTCTCAATTGAACCCCAATACTTGTCAAACTTTTTCTTCATACCCAAAGCCATGGAACATAAAATAGAACCTTCATTCAAACTCAAAGTCAATAAAAGTTCTTGAATACCATAAAGTTCATGAAAGTAAGAATTAGAAGTCACATATAGAGAACCACTTATCTTTGTAGTGACTTCATAAAATACCTTCAAAAACTTTACAAAGACATTCACATTGTTCCAATCATCAGAAGTTGGTGGCCCCAATTTTTTGYTTCCTTGTTCATCTGCTYTAAAGTAATTAGAAAAATCYAACTCCTCCTCCAMTAATATTTGAAAAGCTTTATCGAATTTCAAAGCATGTTCAAGCATCAAATAAGTAGAATTCCATCGGGTTGCCACATCTAAACAAACAAGAGCTTTAGACTCGATTTTTTCCTTTTCTACACAATTTTTAAATCTTGACAATCTCTTGGGTGATGATCTAACATACCTTACTGCATTACGAACACTACAAATGGAGTCATGCATATCTTTCAGGCCATCATTTACAATTAAGTTTATGATGTGAGCACAACACCTCATGTGTAATAATTCTCCATCTAAGATAAGAGTTTTCCAACTTGTGAGTCTCTTCTTAATATAAGAAATGGCCACATCATTAGAACTTGCATTATCAACTGTTATGGTGAAAATTTTATCAATCCCTCATTCCAATAAGCAACCTTCAATAACCTTGCCAACAGTCTCCCCCTTATGGTTTTCAATTTGACAGAAGTTTAAAATTTTTTTTGCAAGTTCCATTCTGAATCAATAAAGTGTGTCGTGAGTACCATATAGTTAACATTTTGCAGTGAAGTCCATGAGTCAGTTGTAAGACAAACTCTTTGAGAAGTTTTGACTAAAAGAGATTTTAACTGTTTTTTCTCTTCAAGATAGAGTTGATACACATCTCTAGCAACAGTTATTCTCGATGGAAGTTCAAACTTAGGACATGAAACACTGCAAAATAATCTGAATCCCTCATTCTCTACAAATCTGAATGGTAACTCATCTATAATTATCATCTTAGCACATGCTGTTCTAGATGCTTGTTGACTAAACATTGTAGAAACGAAATTACTTCCAGTTTTGCCATCTTTAGCAAGTTGGAAAGTTAGAGTAGTTTGACATTTTTCTTCCTCCCTATATGGATACTTTTTACATTGATTTTTTAAGTGCTTCCATAAAGTGCTAGTTCCACAAGATGTAGTGTCACAAGCATAATCTTTATCACAATAATTGCACTTGCATCTAGATCCTGTATCACTATCTATCCTTTCCGCTTTTGTAAAATGATCCCACACCGAAGATTTACTTGGTCTACTTGGTCTCTTCTTAGGATTGGAAGGTGAAGGTGGTTTAGATCCAGTCTCAGAAATAATATCAATATTGGGGGAAGGGCTTTCATTATTACATCCACTTGCACTACTACTTTTCATCTACAAAAAATAATTAAATTAAAATTATTACCCACTCACATTGCATTGTAGTTAAGCTTTCAACTCAATCAATAAACTTTATACATTAAAATCACAAATTCACAGCCACAATAGATAGATACTAATAACAAAAGAAAAAATTCAACTCAAAGTTTTAGGTTCTCATATCACATCTTTATATAAGAAAGGTGAAAAAATTGAAGCTAATGGTGCTGAAGATATAGTTAAACAGACACAGCCAATATCAACCAAGCTAATCACAGTACAACCTTAAAAATTGAAAGCAATTTCTTTAAATACAGAAGCAATAATTGCAGAGCTCATATTTTCAAAATTAACAAATTCGCCCAACAAAAATCATCAAAAAGATCAAAGATCAACGAAATTTGCAGCTAGAGTTATAGTTAATCTATGTGTTACCAGTAGCGTGTTATAGAGATCGTACCTGCTTCGTCGCAGCCGAAATTCTGGGTTATTGATCAAACGATGCAGAAAATCGGAGCCGAAAAAGTTTGAAGGAAAAATGAGGAAAGACAAAAGTATACCAAAGAAAATAAGTAATACAACTTGGAAACTGGAAAGGAAAAAGAATGAAGCACCTGTGTTAAGATGGAGAAGAGAAGAGAGGAGAAGAGAAGAGAAGGAGGTGGTGATGGCAAAGTGTAGTTAAGAGTTGACACAGAGGCAGCGAAACCGTCTTCTCATCAGACCTCTCTGTTAGTCCTACTCGTTACACTGACCAAACTAAGCTTGAACTTGAAGATTGAAGATTGAAGATTGTAGAGAGAGATGGGGGAGAGGAAGATGAAATGAAAATGTTAGAGAAGGAGAAGAATAGGAAGGGGTTGAAACCCTAAAAAGAATTGGATGGTTGAGATCTATTCAAAATGAATGGATGGATGAGATTGAGTTTTTACGAATAAGAATTATTAATTTATTATATATATGTAATATTATATTATAAGTAATATATATATATATATAAAACAAAACAAAAAAAACGTATATACTCGGGTCGGGTCGGGTTGACCCGACATTTTTAAGGGTCAACCCAAGACCCAACCCAACCCGGTCGGGTTGGGATTTTTCCAACCCAACCTAACCCAATGTTAGATGCAACCCAACCCAACCCTTATGGGTTGGGTTGGGTTCGTCGGGTTGTCGGGTTCCCTGAACACCCCTAGCTACAATCGACATTTCGTGTATACTTGCACATGTTGTCAACACGGTTGTGTGGACACAACACTTGCCCTATACTATTTGTACATATCCGTAGGCCTAGACTTTCTAAACGGCCCTCGATCACTTTAGCTGTAAGAGCCTTTGTAAATCAGCAATTTTATTCTCCGAAGCGATCTTTGTGACAATCACGTCCCCTCGTTGCACTATTTTTCGTATGAAGTTATACTTCCTTTCGATGTTCTTGCCTCTTTTGTGACCTCGGAGTTCTTTAGAATTTGCCACATCACCACTGTTATCACAGTAAAGTGTTATAGACAAAGCCATGTTTGGAAGAACTTCTAAATCAGTTAAGTTAAGAACTTCTTAAGCCACACCGTCTCTTTTGTTGCCTTACAAGCGACAACATACTTGACCTCCATTGTGGAAACTGCAATGTATCCTTGTTTGATGCTCCGCCATACTACAGCTCCTCTATTAATAGCGAACACTGATCCCGAAGTGGATTTCCTTGAATCCTTATCACTTTAGAAGTTAGAGTCAGTTTATCCTATAAGGATGGAATCCTTAGTGCCATACACAAGCATATAGTTCCTCGTTCTCCTAAGATACTTGAGGATTCCCTTAACGGTAGTCTAGTGATCATATCTTGGATTAGATTGATACATACTGAGAATCCTTACTGCATAGCAAATGTCAGGCCTAATACACAACATGGCATACATCAGGCTACCCACTGTTGAAGCATAGGTAATGCGTCTCATATCCTCATCTTCTTGAGGTGTCTTATGACATTATTGTTCCTTAGACAGAGAGATTCCATACCTGAAAGGTAATAAACCTTTCTTGGAATTCTACATCGAATATTTGACAAGCATTTTGTCGATATAAGTTGTATGAGACAGGGCTAGCATTTTGTTCTTTCGATTCTTTATGATTTGAATCCCTAGAACAAACTGAGTGTCTCCCAGATATTTCATTTGGAATTCAATTACTAGCCACTTCTTAATGTCAGCTAGAAAACCTACAACATTCCCAACGAGTAGCATATCATCTACATACAACACTAAGAAATCAATCCCCTTCAAGAAAGAACCATTTCAGATTCCACTTCTTTATGGAACTAGGACGCTTTATAGTGGGAATCCCACATGTGATTTTGGATGTTGTGGCCATATTTATTTCACCGGTAAGAGGACGGCCACTGCACATACCCCTCTTCCATTCCTTGGCCAAATGACGAGCCCACAAAGGAGTCCATAAGCCACACTGCAGCCCTCTTCTCCAAGTAGTGAAATTGAGCCCACCGTGGAGGAGTCTCCTTTAACTAAAAAAAAGTAGGCGATAGCGTTAGGGTCTAAGCACAACCCCCACCCATTCGTTTCTAAACAATGTAAAATCCTAACAATATTGACAACCCGTTGGCAACAAATTGGGCTGGAGCCAAATGTAAATAACTTGGAAAATGTTGATCAATAGGATGCAAAGGCAACTTGACTCCACACTGTAGCATCTTGGCGTAAAAGGCCACCTCACCTGGTGATGGGTTGGTCTTGCACTCTCCATATTGAGCACAAAGTGACTCCAACTCGTCCATCTGTCATTGAGGAACACACCCAATATGGTTCTGTCAGTGTGGTCTACAAGAAATCACGGGATCTTATTCCCCCTTCTTGATACAGAGGAGAAATGAAAAAATATGCTTCAACTCCTCTGAAGCGTCAAAGAACTCAAACGATTATAGTGGACCCAACTAGAAATTGTTCTCCCATTCCGACATTACTAAATAAAAATTTTTTAAAAAGAAGCCTTACAGAAAAAGAAAACAGAAAAAGAAAGACACGGAGAAGAGCGGTGGTTCATCGAGGGCTTCTTTGCAAATGATAAAAAAACTGTACGGAAATTGGGAAAAGAAAGAGGGAGAAGGAAAACGAAGCATTGAAAAGCAAAAGAAAGAAGATGGAAAGAAGACTCTTGCAAAACAAATATTAAAAATGAAAAGGAAACGACCGTTGATTTGAAAAAGGAAAAGGGAATGCTGGAAAAACAAGACAAAAAGATTCTATTTTTGGCAAAAAGAAAGAAATGAGGCTGAGCAGGGAGGTGGTGAATATTTTGTTCCTAAAAAAGGAAAAGAAGATGGAAAAAAAAAGGGGAATTGATGACGGTGTTTCTAAAAAATAGATGTACAATGTGTTTAAATAAGAAGAAAATGAAAAAGTAGAAGAGAAAAGAGTGAGGGAGGATGAAATGTCTAGAAATAAAACAAAAAAGAAAAGGGTAGTTGGTGAAAGAGAAAATGAAGAGTAGATTTTGAATTAAAAAAAACCATAAGAGGAAGATGATAATGAGGGGAGGAGGGAAACTAAAGAAAGAATACGGAGATAATTGAAAATGAAACAAAAAAAAAGGAAGGTGGCAATAAATTTTTTTTAGAAAGTGGATATTTTGTTGTAAGGAAAAAAGACAGAGAAGATTTGGGGTAACCGAAATGGAAAAGATTCAAAACCATTAAAGGAAGTAAGAGAGAAATAGGAGTGAAAAAGGGAGTATGAATTTTGAAATAAAACAACGAAAGAAATATTTGAAAAATGGGAGAAAGGCGAGGAGTTGCCCGGTTGAGTTTGGATATATGGCACATGACATGTATGCAC